TATATAGAATAACATGTTCAACAACGGCTTATAAAACCCTGCTTTTACCTATTGGATTTGGCATCTATGCACACCTGGCAATGCAATACACAAACATTGGGTACAAGCAGAAATCTGCAGAATTCTTAAACAGCCACGCAGTTTGCACAACGTAATATGGCTGTGTTTTTGTCTATACAAGTCCTGATTTTCAGATCAAAGGGAAGGAAGAACATATTTTAAGCTACCATTGTTACCATGCCCATTATCCTGGTCTGCCCTTGTATAAAGCTGGACCAGTCAATTTCTAACGAAATCTTATAGGATATAGCAGTGATATCCATTACAGAAAAGAGGTGTTACGGTCAGCAATCTTATTTGCAAGTACCAGGATGATACAAAAGTCACAGTTCACAGAAGCTTTATGTCTGTTACTATAAAGTAACAGGCTGTAACATGCTGGGAAAATCCTGCATAAACCAATTAGCCAGTATAATAGTGTCTCTGTGTATCTAAAGGAAGAATGGAACTGACAAAATGTCCCTGTCTTCCTCATATTTTTAATGCCTTGTGTATTACTGGAACAGTAGCTTTTATATTTGAACGGCTCAGTCTTGTGGGGTGCTGAGCAATAAATCTACTAAAGCACTTAGCCTATATATAATTAATATAGTGTGGTGCAACTCCAATTCCAATAAATAAGATTTTTCTGCTACTTAGCAGCAAACAATGGCCACATTTTCAGAAAAGCCAAAGTTGAATAGTATCTATTGAAACTAAAGAAATAAATATTGCCATTGCAGCATATCACTCTCAGAGTTAATGCATCCCTTACAATGAGTGGGATGAAGGACTGCTAGTTTCTGACAATCTGCTGAATTAAGCCAGCGATGCACTGGCCATAGCACAAAGGGTTTTAACATCCATAAGTTCTGGTAAGCATGGTCTTTTTATTTTTTTAAAATTTATTTGAAACAAAGCTAATTCAGGAGTATCAAAGAAAGAAGAAGGGAAATGGGAGAGGTAAAGGTTTGAAGGATTAATAAAAGATTTGAAAAGGTTTAAAGTTAGTAACTTAGACTAATCATAAAGATCTGATTTCCAGAAAACCTCTTACATTAGATTTTTGTCAATTTTCAGGTAACTGAGATATATACAAAGTCGGAGAATAATGCACAGATCTAGAATGTTGTTATAAGATACAAGGTTTTATAGAAGGACGATGAACGTGTGTAAAGCAGTCCTAGGGTTTAAATCAGGGAATACACAGGTCGTTGGATTCTCAGCAAGCTACCAATTCTTGCAAGTCTTAGTAAAAGGAAATTATAACATTTGGTTATATTTTCACAATGACAAGTTGCTTTTACAACACCTTAATCCTGAAAAAATAAACTTGCAAAAAATGTTTTAGTAGCAAATCTTTGCGATGCCGTCAGACACAGGACTTCCTGGAAAACACAAGCTTCTTCATACTGTTGCATCCAAATAAATCATCTCAGTATGTGGAAATACTAATGGAATAAAAAGTATTATCACAGTTATGGCTCCTACCTATTTGTTGCCTCTCTTTCTAGCCAACGAGGAGGACAAGTTCATTCTAAATCTGTAAATAAACCTTATTTAGATATTCAGCTTGCCTCTCCTTCCTCTCCTGTCATGACAACGCATTCAGTGTGGTCTTCCTCACTTACTTATGGCTTGCATCAAAATACCAAAATATTTACATGGTAATTACTAATTATATTCTGTTCTATCTATTATATTCAGTGTTCTATCTATCGATCACTGACACTTTTTTCCCTTTGGAATATTCAATACCATTTTAACTGGCTGACCATTTCATTTTCACATTTGAGTAAAACAGACATTTTTAAATGTTTACAAAAGATAGCCAACTGTATCAGAGAATATTAAAGAAGCCTCACAGCAGGATACATATGCACTTGTCACCAGAAGCCAATAAAATAAAAACACTTCAGAAATGAAAAAGTGAAAGTGGTTTTTAAAGATGCAATTATGGAAGAAAAATTCTGCTTCACTCAGCAGGAGGTTTACACCTTTGCCTTTTGTTTTTATAAGGAAAAATGAGCATATTAAGCTTTAAAAATAATAAAAAAAGAAATATTACTGTGGAATTATCAGATACCCCATATTTCCTACAGCTTATGTGTATATATGGATCACTAGAAGAAAATGGGAATTAATAAAGTGAAGTATGAATTTCTAGAACTAGATCTCAAAATTTTTCATTTTCTAGACTGCTACCAATGTTCTTAAGAGCTAAGAGAATCGTGCAAAAATTTTTCTTAAGTAGTGCTATAGTTAACATGGATTTATTTTCTTTGTCTTGTGCCTAGTTTTCATTTGCTTTCCATGCATTACCTAGGGATGAACCTAGCTGAGACAAGAAAATTTAACTATGAATATAAATAACTATGGAAAGAATTATATGAACACTGAAAGAACTCTTCTGGTGCTTAGGCCCCATTTCCCACAGATTAAAAATGTACATAAAAAGTATAACCCAAAAGTCTTTTCTTCTAAAGAGGAAAAATATTCTATGAGTTAATGCAATTACACGCTTTGAGTCTCAAATTTTGAATGTGAACTCCTTTGCACAGATTTTTTAGTATTCAAACAAGTTAGCACATTTTACATCACATGTGCAAAACTCAACTGTATTTCACACAGAATATTTTATATTTTCTAAAGGAGGAAAAATGTTGGTTTTCATTTCCTGTTCAGTAGCTAAAACTCATGGTTAGTTTACAATACTGTTTTAAGCAGATGTAAGTTTTGGGTTTGTGTTTTTGAAGAACAGACATTTTTAAGCAGAGTTATGTCTCTATAAATGCTTTGAAATGCATATACAGTATTTGCCATTGGTGCTTATTAGATATCCGCACAAGGTTGAAGTTCATTGTTTGATTTACAGATTAGAAGATATGGAGGATTTTTCATTTAAATACTGTAAATTCTACAAGATTGATCTAATAAGGTGTCCTTCATAAATCCTTAATAGAACTAATGCCATAAAAATAACATTTATCAATGGATGTGGTGGGGTGGAAAGAAAGAAGTAATTCTTAATCCATGCAGTATAAAGTTTTCCTATTCGTCTATAATAAACTGTCCTTGTAGAAGTTGAAAGAAACTAATTGCATTTGGTCTGTGCTTCGTTCCAGTATAGAACGCTAATTTCTCAGTTAAAAATAATGAATCAAGTTATGGATATATTTCATAGCTCTAAAGACTGTGAATGGAAATTTCTAATATACTAGAAATATTACCCTAATATAATAGCCTACGTGTAGTTTATTGTATTAATTTCATATCACACATTGCAAAATAACAGGAAATAAAAGCCCTTCTTTTTACTAAAACCCACACTAGGGGGAAGAAATTATGTAGCAACACAGATAGATAGAAATAATTTGAGATAATGCACCCCTTATCTATTGCAAACATTCAAACAGACTTGCAGAAAAATACATAGTTTTAAAATTGCAGGATGATTTGCTTTCAGTATCAGGAATTCAGGAAGATTTTAGCATAGTCTCAATTTGGCTTGAAAAAACCTCCACAAAAATAAACCTGAGATTTATTTCTTTTGTCCAACAGCCAAGAACAGTAAAAAAAGAGCATCTGGTAACGAAAAAATAAAGTAATCAGTCTTTAATATATAGCAATTTCAACAAAAAGCTTTATTAGCAGAAATTGAAAGGCTATTAGTCTCATTACGAATCTTGACATTGCAACAATCAGCAGCCATTCATTTTGCTTTGCAGAAGCTATACATAAACTCCCCACAGAAGAATAGTTAATACTTATCTACAGTCTATGAAGAACTTGTCAGCTTTTCGGGAAAAAAAATCTGGTGTAAAGTCTCCAATTAGATGGAGATTTGAGCTGCCAAGATCTTGATAGAAACAGCCTGTGTGAATCGAGCATGTTCCATCCAGTCGCATGGTTCTGCCGACCCCTGAATGTGACCTGCTCCCAGTGGAAAGCAATTTAATGCTCTACTGCACATAGAACAGTATATATGAATACAAAAAACCCGGATAAATTAGTGACAGGTACATCTGAATAGGACTGCTTCTAAGCCACTTATCTCCAGCCAGGCAAGCTTGTTTCACCTCAGTTTAAAAGATAAAGGCACATGGCAGGCTGCCTCGGCAAGTTCTCATCAGGCAAACAGCCTCCATTGTCCATTAGTGGAAAAGTCTCCCTATTATTTAAGGAAATGTGACAGCAATGAAGGCAAAGTGAAAACTATCTGCAGGTAGGAAATTCATCAGTATGTTACTAAGCTTTTTGCCTTCTACATCTTCCACAGGCCTCTTTCTCTTTGCACTTTTTTATCTGACAGCTCAAATGCCCCGGGGTTGTAGCCCTGGCAAAGGTCAAGAACATAGCAGCAGGGCTATAAAATGAGGCTGTTACATGGGGAGAAGCTGCCAAACAGAAGGAAGTTTATTGAGCACTAGACAATGAGACAAGAGCCTACATCACAGCAAATATGTCTTGGTAGCTGCTACTGGTTGTGAAATAATATTGGACTCGTAAGAAACATTGAGAAATTTTACAGACTATCTGGAGCCTAGGAAAATCAAGGAATATTAAAACATCTCTTATAAAATAAACATTAAAAATTTTAATGTATGTTGGGAACTACTGAAAATATGCATAATTAACATGCTCACTGTCTTTTGAAATAAACACATCAGTCACAAACTATCAATATAAAATTTTTGTAAACTAATCTACAGGCAGTAAGCCTGTATCAAGCAGGCTTACTGCAGATAAAAGTGTGTGTTTTGCTAAAGGCTCAATCACTTTTGTACAGCAGGCAATTAAAAATATACTGTCTTCTTGCATCCATCATTAAAATCAAGGTTTGCTGTGCTGCAAGTGTCAAGATGAAAGACAAGGGCTTTGCTTGTGTGCATTCAGCCTAGGAAATTTATTACTTTAATTTTTCACAATCATTGGTAGCAAAAAAGGTAAAGTTGAATTACCTTTCACACTGTCCAGTAGCAGTGTTATCACATCAAAGCATAGGTCAGCATCTGATTAGCAAATGCACAATATAAATCCCTGTTAAAACAAAGCAGACAGAGACAGGATCTTAGCTTCCTATTCTATCAAAATGTTAATCTTTGTGCACATTTTTACTGTGCACAGTAAAAAAGGAATAAAAAGAGCATGAGTTAGCTTCTGCATACACATCCATTCATATCAGATTTAGATTATGTCCATTATAAGCATCTTGCTATTATTATGATGCACACATCATTTGAAATGATATTCTAAAGTAAGCCATCATTTAACATTGTTAGGCTCAAACTCCAACACTTCTAGGTAGATAAGTAACAGTATCAGTATTTTGTGTTCTCCAGATAGTATATTAAGCAACATGATTTGGGCAAAAGTAGCTAATTACTTCTATATATTCTGTATTTTGAAACTGTTTGTATGTGATTAATTTTTCCATCTAGTCCCCACTCATGTGATTATTCTCTGAGCAATACATTGTTGCATGAGGAAATAACTTCTTGTTTACAGATCTAGGATTTTTTTCAAGGTTTTCAATTTTATATTTGTATTCAAGACTGAAATATAAACAGCTCGTTTAAGTCGGAAGCTTGGATGGAAAGTGATGAATGTTCTGTGATTGTTATGATTGATAATTAAGGACAGTGTCAAGTATATGCCATCATTCTCTTTATCATCGTGCTGTCAATCTTTTCTACGTTAAGAAGATAATGATAGGAATAGTAGTAAATATTACAAAAAATTTCTTTAAATTTGAACAATTGATTTAAACTATATCAGACATAACTAATTTTGCAGGAAAAGAGAAACTGAATAATGGGAGCATTATCTCAGAATTAATTAGCACACGTTGATTTCTACTGTATACCTGCCAAACCATGTACAATAAATTACTTTAATTGTATATGTGCATACAGTACATACAATCTAAATAGAACTTTTTGAAAAACCAAAAAGGAAAGAAAACATTTCAGTCAGAGTCATCCTTACTGTCAGCGATTGCTGAAATAATGTTAATCAACAACTGAAGGGCGTGGGACTGTACAATCACCAGTAATGCTATTCTAATTGATTAGGCCTATTTGGTTGTGGAGGTGCTCTTTTGCAAATGCACATTGCTTTCAGTCGCTTCATCTGAGCACCATCCTCATAGCACCTAAAATATATCATTTTTTCTTCCCATATGAAACAGATTGCTTTTTAGAGGCCTACACTTAAAAATTTTGGAAAGTGTGGTTAGAGGTTCTTCAAAATGTGCTTCAGACATTTTAATATGCTAAAACATTCATCACAAAACTTACTTATACATGAGTTTCACAAGTATATGTTCACAGTGCATATTTTATGTTGAAAGTAGATTAAAATGTTTTTAAAGAAAGGTCTATTATGAGCATATTTATATTGTGTTTGTATAGATATAGTGCATATATGCACACACACGCGCGTGCACACACACACACACATATCTACCCATTAAAAAGAATGTACTTCTCCAAATTTGTCACATAACATGCCTTCCTCCAAAGTATAGACAAGATTCATTGCATCATGCTAAGAAATATTTTGAGAGCATTACACACTAATAAAAGTAGAAAAATTTCCTGCAAATATTCATTACATATGTATGTATGTGTACATATATAGTGTGTGTGTGTGTGTGTGTGTGTGTGTGTGTGTATGTATTTGCCTAGAGTAAGAGTGTGGAACAAGAAAGGAAGTGCTAACTTCTTCCTGACTTGATTAATGTGGCTCAGTATGGCACGTTGCTTCCTCATCTGTAGTATATGCACACTTGCTGTCATTATTGCAAATATGTATTTTGCTCATAGGCAGAAAGAAAAAGAAAGGAACACCTTAGTATTACTTCACTTGCTTCCTTGAAAGTACACCCAAGGTTTTTGTGCCATAAAAGGACACTGCTTAAATTTATGAAATACTAATTCAGTGTTTCTGGGTGCTGTAGGAAAAACAAAGAAACTCTGAATGTTGTGAACTGCATGAATAGTTTAACTTCTGGGCATTTCCTGTACATGCTTTGGAGATGTCAAATGTTAATCCTGTCGGGCCCCGTGCTTGCTAATATTGACCAAGCTAATACGTTCTAGTTCCTCTTTTAAGGTGACCAAAGGGGAACAAATAGAATGTAATATCTTTGCCAGAAGTCCTCACTTGCAAGGATTTGAACATTTCCCTTTAAATCTTGGGTCACCAGAAGACAAGAAAAGAGCAGATAAAGGTTGCATAACCATGCAACTTTTTTCCCCCAGGTCAGTACACTGGGACCATTAACAAGCAAGGAGCTGAGAAGAAAGCAAGTTTTGCCCCTGGTAAGAGAATGGGATGAAAAAGAGCAGGGGGCAGCAGAGGGCAGCAGCCGGGGGACCTGGTGCCACAGTTGTGCTCAGTGCAGGGGCAAAGAAGCGGATGACAGATTCAGTGCAAGCAGAGATACAGTTGTATGGAAAAGTCACCAGGAGAGAAAGGAAATACAGTAATGAGATTTACAGAAACAAAGATAGAAGAAAGTTTTAAAGAAATATCTGATAAGGGATGTCTAAGGAGTACAAAGCAAAGATGACAGTGTTGTATAATCATCTAAGGTTACTGTAAGACCTACACACAGAGTAACCAGAATTTCTGATCACAGACAAACATAAAAGACATAACATATTCAATAGAAGTATTCATATCTCTAGAATAATTAGGAAAATTCATACTAATCAAAACAAAGGAAGGAGATAGATAAGTTCCTTTTTATGGCAAAGATCAATACATAGAATTACTTCAAACACTAATAGTAAAGAGATAAACTGTAGCAATAGTTAAATAACAGAATACATAAAATCACTAGTATTGGCCACATGCTCTCAGCCATAAAAATGTAGTTACCACTAAATGTTAAAATATTTTAAATATATTTATAAATATTGTAATGATATCCTAATTGTATCCTTTTTTCATCTGTAGATAACGTGACACTTTTTACTTTTGGTACTATTATTTAACGCATGTGGCTCAAAGCAGACCAGTCAAACTCTTTGAATAGGTGATGCACAGCTTTAGCTAATACTCCATGACAAACGTGTTCCTAGGTTGCAGCACATAGAGAAGAGGTATGCAACAGTGATTACTGGCTGAAAAATCAACTTCTCAGTTAACTGGTTCAAGAATCGATGCACAATTGATTTATAGCAACAAGACATGAACTGTAATTTTTCCAATTAAATTCTATGTTCTGATGACTCACACACAATTTAGAATGAAGAAAACCCATATTAGAGTGAATTCTCAGTAGCAATGTTATTACTGCGCAGTTCTTGCAGCAACCTCCATTCAAATGTCTATGAAATGAGGGTCCTCAGCACCTCTCATTCTCAGGCTTGACCCAAAATAAAAATAAAATTAATTATTTTCAAATTTTATAATAAAAAGCTACTGTACTTAGGTAGTCTTTCAAAAATAATATTACATTTTGATAGTAGGGATGCAAATCATCCTTCCCCTGCTTCCTTCCCAGCACTGCCTGCTGTAAGATTTTTCCCAAATGAAAATAAAAAGCCATACGTCTACCTGACCCATTCTGCTTCTGCTATTCAGTACTACAGAGGTATTCAGCCCGGTTCCGTGTGCACCGTATTCTAACACTGAGCAATGTTAACATCTTTCAGTAATTGTCTAAACTATATCCAATCTAGTCTAATTCTGCAATACCTATAAAAAGGCCTATTCAGTCATGTAAACCTGCACTTAAAATATTGTCTTTATTATGATTGGTATCACAATGTATAGATTTTTCAGAGAAAAAATTTGTATTCATTTAAGTGGAAATTAAGGTCAGGTTTAGGAAACCCACATTGTTGTCCTAAATAGGGTGAGCATAATTCTTTTTTCCATTTCTGGCTAAAGAACTTTAAGATATCAGAAAACCTGAACTCTGTTCTTGTCTTCATGCTGCATAGCAAGCTTGTCTGCTTTTATCATTTCTCTCTCATTTTATATACCAAACTTCCTGTGTTCTTCTACAGCTGGTCTTCTATAAATTGTGTTTTCACATATCTGAGGAACTGAAATAGGAGTACACAGGATACAAGTGCATAATAACAAGCATTAAATGATGCAACCAATTAGTAATGGTAACAATGTCTCTCACTTGAGGCTGCCAGAAGTAGTATCTTATTTGCAATTACTGAAGGATTTCCAAACTAGGAAACCATTTTCAAACTAAAATGTTCAAGTCACTGTAGAGAAAGTTCTATTTTCAAAAGCTTCTCATCCACTTCGAAGTCAAAATTTAACTGAATTTGCATGGAATTGGACATTTGAGCATCTCTGAAAAATAAAATGTACTAGTCTCTCAGAAATCCCCGTTTATATCATAGCCTGGACAGCTGACTCTGACTTTGGTTGGCAGTTTTTGTGGAGGTCAGTTTACAGATTGTACAACTCTTCTATACCCTGTAGATTGTTGTAAGGGGCATTGATAGGATAATCCCAAAAATCTAACATTGACCATAACCATTTTCTCACCCAATTCTTTGTTCATACTACCAACCTAGTTTCTATCATTTTACTGAAATTACTCATGGTTAATGCTGGTATGAGAACAAGGAGAACTAGGTCTTTCACATCTTCAGGGCAAGACTTTCTAAGGTCTTACATTAGTGCTATAGTTAATTATCCTTTATTTTCAGTATATTCATCCCCAAAAAGTAAGATAAAAACCATAACAAGTGAAAACTCTACAAATGGCACCATCAGTCCCATCAAAGGGAAAATATAACTGCAACTGTAAAACAGAAAAGGGACATCTTAATTTCCTGTTCAAGCACTATGCAGCAGAGAAACATTTCTGATTCAAATAGTAGGCATTGCAAGAAAATAGCATAATTTTTATAAAGATAAAGGATAGTTGGTAGTATTTACAATATTATGTTTTTATGCTTTAAAGTTGAAAGCGTGACTTAATGTAATACAGTCAATAGAAAATGATTAATACAAACTTAAAAATTCACTTGGGGAATACTATTTAGATTGAAATCAAT